GATGGGTTCGGACAGTGTCCCAGGCTTTTTTGCTGTGTCCCAACGTCCCAACGTCCCAGTGTCCCAAAATGTCCCAAACTAAGTCCCAAGTTTTAATAATTAATAAATTAAATTAAAAAATATACAATTATATATTTTGTTAAGTACTGAATATGTTTTTAAAAAAATTAAAGTAGATTATTAATAAAATTTTGAGTAATTTTAATTTATAAAATGTTCTAAAATGTCTCAAAATGTCCCAGCACATGTCCCAACTATCCCAAACCCATCACTGGGTGGGAGGTAAACAAACACATATATGACACAGAATATTTGATCAAATCTCTTAATCACATGATTATTGAAGATTATCCTGCAATGTGATTGGCTTGTTTAATTTCCGGGGGCAGATATAAGTCTCCCTAGAAAATTTCGCTGACTATGTGATCTTATTAAAAATAACTGTTTCGCGATTAGTTTAGGGCTAGGGTCCCACCAGTAGGTTAATGTTTGGTTTAGAGGGTTATAATTATAGTAAAATTTCTCGAGGAATTTTTTTTGTTAGTACGCAGAAGGCACTTTCATAGACAAAATTTTGGGCTACAAGCGTTTTTTTGTTGTTTTGATTTTTTTGCACTTCTTTTCGTTACACAAGATCTTGAAATCTGATTGGCCAGCGAAATTAATTAGGGTGATTTAACTGCTGTTTAACCAAGAGAGGAGATGACGCTAAACAACTTTTCAACTTTGAACGGCCTAAATTAATAATTACGCTATTATATATGAGCGATCAATTATTGACTTAATGATCGATCGATTATATATATATTCAAGCCTATAAATTATATTCTTGATCGACCATACTACTCAATCAAGTTTACATGATTTAAATTTACGTGATTTTGATCAATCATCGATCAATGAATTTTTTCACTGCTATTGACTCACTCACCTCCAACTACTCATTTTAATCATAATTGCTATAGGTAATGAAGATGACATTATTGATATGAAAGTTTATTTAGAGTTATGTAGCTTGTTAATTTATAAATCATCTTTAATATTCCGTAATATTAATACACGGAAAAAAATGTCACAATTTTGCCTCAACTTTCGCTTCAAATTTAATTAGAAGTCGGAAATATATTCTTTATTAAGGATCAAAAGGAGATATATTTTTAGAATTAATAAAGTAATTTGATTATGCAACATAGTGTTTGTCGTTATATATGTTTGTCGCTATCGGGTTCTTCATCATTTACTATATTAGATGTATTGGATTGTTGAATTTTTTCTAAATATTGCACGTTTACTACATAATCTCTTAAAAATAACTGTAGCAAATCTAATCTTTTTTCAAGTTGTTCAGTTGAAATTTCATCTTCTTTCAAACCATTTGTATCGTGAATTAAATGACTAATGAATGGCATTGATTCGAAAGTAATTATCAAATTATCTTGTACAATTCGCTTAACTTTGAAAAGATGTCTTTGAACCAAACCAAGTGGTTTAATAGCGCTTGCACCTAAGATAAAGTATGATATTTTTTAATTAGATTTAGTTATATTAAATTATTCATTATTCTAGTTATATTAAATTATTCATTATTCAAAATCAATATATATATACCAAAGAGTAATGCATAAAAACTTGTGATTAGTCCAAATAAACCGCCAAATAATCCAAGAGAAGTTGATACCTATAAATTAAAAAAATTAAGTAATATTGAAATATAGATATCTCAATGTACAATACTTAAATAATAACTACATAGTGACTAATAGTTATTATTACACGTTACTTTAATAATAACCATATAATCAGTATGCAATTACTGTATATTAAAGATGTCGATATTTGTAATATGATGTAGCCTGTATTTTTTAAAAAAAGTCCTTACAGTTTTAAGCCTTTATAATAAATAAATAAATAAATAAATAAATAAATAAATAAATAAATAAATAAATAAATAAATAAATAAATAAATAAATAAATATTAATTGCACATAATAATAACATAGAAATAATAATGATAATAAAAATAAAGTTTAAATCAGTTTTATTGTTACCTTTGATCTTTATCAACTTGAACTATAAATGATTTTGGTTTGATATTTATTGTGGAAAATAATGATTGAGATCCCGTAGTATTCGAAATAAGAGAAGATTCTATACAAATTAATATTTCGTAAATTATATTGTCTAATATTCTTTTTAAAGTGCATTTTGTAAAATAATACCAATCATAGAAGTAATATAAGGTATTCTTTCGAGATCTGCAGCAAATCCGAAATAATTTTTCCAGCTTCGCGACATAAGATGTTTTATATTTCTTGTCATTTGAATATTGTAAGCCTGTCAAGCAAAATAAGAAATTAACACTACTATTACTATAATGATACATATATATATAATATTCTGAAATAAAAAGCTTGCCTGATTTGGCGATAATTCATATGTGTTTATTTTAACTATTGAATTCAAAAATATTGAATTTTGATTTTCAAACAATTTAGGGCCATAAATATTATAAAGCTCTATAATTAGACTTAAATTAGTTTGTTATAGACTTTATTTAACGAGCAAAAAAAAAAATTAACCTGAATCAATAGCGCGAATATCTATAGACATTGATGGATCACTTGCATTATATGTGACATCATCAATATAAATCATAATCCCAATGTTCTTCAGGCCTTCATTAGAGCTTGTTGAGAAGAACAAATCACCATTAGTTTTAAAATAACCATCATACTTTGAGGTGGTGTTCAATACGGGCTGTCCTATGTATTGGGCACATGCTTTATTATCTTCGCGTGCACTATTAGCTTGTTCATTTGAAGAAATATTTTAAGTTTAAGTAATTATTTTTACGTAATAATGCGGTATATAATACTCAAATATTTATAAATACCAGCATATGTAAAATAACAATTTAAATAAGATTTTTTGGGAATATTTGAAATCATTAACACTAAAAGTTTTATAAATTTAACAAAAATTATAAATGAGATTGCTAACTTGTTAATTATTAAGTTTTCATAATGTCAAAAATCTAGAATTTACCTGGAACGGGCATTGAATTTGTTTCAATAAAAGAGCTTTGAATAGCTGGATGATCATTGCAAATATCCAAAATCAAAAATATAGAGTATCCAACCAGAATGATTCCAAATAGTGCCGTTACAATAAGTCGTAACGAAAAGACAGACGTAGGTTCTGTCTTACGATTGTTTTGAAATATTTTTCCAAGTGCCATTCTTATACAAGACTTTCACTTTCTTATATAGACTATTATCAATTTATATTGCTGTTTATACTGCTGTTTATACTGCTGTTGGTGGCGATACACTATTCTGACGATATATATTTATTAAAAAAGGAAAACACTCATATTTTGCGAACGTTAACGATGATCAATTAATTTTGGGTTACACGATGCCGGTTTTATTGTGATATTATAGAACTTTTTATCTTTATTCCTTAATAGGACAATCTCCTAGAAAGGAAGCACCCAATCAGAGAATCAGGGTTTATCCGAAAAAATAAAAAAGCAAAGTCTACATATCGATACAGGATGCATCACTTGAATTCTGCATCTTCCTAAACTAACTCCCTAATTATAAGCTTCTATTTTGCGTATTAAGTTTACTTTCGTGCTAAATCTCCTTTTTTTGGGTTTGAGGATAAGTAATATATCAATTATCACTGTTGTATATATAACAAAATATTTTTATTGTTATCTTTGTTATACAATTATAGTATATATGTTGTGCCTGAGATCGATGCTTGCGTCAGGTGACAGCTGACGCGCCTCAGATATCAATCGTTGTATGAGG